AAAAGGTTCCAGTAAATCTGGTCAATCCCGATCACTCCATTTCGGTTCGACAACCACGTAACAATGCGTAATTCTGTTAGTTCTTATTTATATCATGTATTTTATAACCTATGTATAGCCTAGAACGTCATATTACGGCCAGAACGTGTTTCCTGCCAGTAGTCAGGGGGAAAATCAATTAGCTTCAGTAAACAAAACACTGCAGCTACTTCCTCCGGGCGCTAGACTCACATGACGCAAAAAGATATTACGATGTAAAATACTGCAAACTGCATCTAAGACTGCAACGTGTTATACCAATGACATTCCTGGCAGTCCCAAAAAATCACATATGTAAAATGAAAATAACTTAGAAAACTAAGCTAGCAAACTAAATTATTTGATACTCATATGAAAGCCCCAATGCCTGGGGCACACTCAGGGGCACATGATTCAGCCCCTAACATAGGGCAGCTAAGTAAGCCAAAGAGAACCAAACTTTTTCAGTTGCACCTCAAACCCGTGTTCTCCAATGTCAGCGTGGCTGGAGCACCCGCTAGTCATCATCCCCTAGATCTGTACCCATAGGGGTACTGAAAGGAATGTTGTGCACGCCAAGCGCCCGCAGACACTAGGTCAGCTCCAGCAAGGTACCAGCAACGTCCAACGCGGGATGTCGTTGGACACATGTGCTCGCGTGGGACCAAGGGGCCAAGAGGGGTACCATCATCCGTGTAGAGCAGAAGGGCTGGAGCACGTGGAGCACGTGCTGTCATGAACGCTAGGTCAGAGTGGCCGTGCATGAACGTGAACTACATGATCGCATAATCTACGGATAAAATCTACGCCAATAAAGTTGCATGCATCACACTTTTAAATGACGTGCATATTTGTGACTTTGGTATAGTATTGAGAGTCATGATGCGAAAATGTGATGTATTTTTCGGGACACCAGTCATACGCAACTGTCAAAAATGCATTCACATTTACAAAAAAGCCAACTTCACACATCAGTGAGAGACTCCAAGGTTTTGGTTTTTCGGCATTCAGTTTTTCTGCTGAAAACAACCGAGCTTTGCAAAGCTGTTTGCTTCACATTCAATGCACAGGCGGGCCATTGTCAGTAATAAGGAACCCTGTTGCCAAATCAAGAGAGCAAAAACGAAAGGTGCATAGGTGCAAGTGCATATCTGTACAGAGCTGCAAAGGTGTGACATTTGTTTAAGCCCTTCAGTCTATACGCAAAATGGTGAGATTAAAAAATTACATCGTTTGCATTTATGCCATGTCAAATTCACTCCAAATTTTGTGCTACTTCATCATGTACATACATTAAAAGGAATGTTCCACATTTGAAGGTATTAAAACAAGCATCAATATGGTGAGATAAGCTCACTTAAAGCTGTTGGTATACTTTTAAAGTGGAAAAGGCTGCTCTTAACATTTTTTTCTATTTCGTAAATATGCCCCCTATTACGTCAACGTTTGATAACGTCATCCCTCTTCCACAATAATGATTGAGAGCTAACTGACGGGCGTTATATCTGGAAATCGTGCTCACGAACGCCACGCACGAACGACTGCACAGTTTGTATTTGTATTGGCATTGATCGTCGCATGGCTTAAGGAATAGCAGGATTTAAATGACGGTTATTATGGCGTACCGTTTAAGAACTCAGCAGTTCTACTACAGTTAAAGCAACATCAAACAATTCAGAGCTGGGGTCAGGTAATTTTTAACTGATCGGAGCAGACTCGCAATATGTTTTTATGGCGAACAAGCCTGAAGTTTGTTGTTTCCAGCCTGCATCGCTCGGCTAGTGTCCAGCCTACTTCATTTCCCACTGCCAATGCGTTTGGCATAAACCGTCCTGCAACTGTCAACACGGGGCCCGCATTCGGAACACTTCCCCAGCACATGCTTCTCCCGCTGCCGCACCGCGCGGACAGATGTTTGGCGGCTAAGACTACCAACGCACGCTTCCTATGAGGGGCATTTCGCCTCTGCGCATGGTGCGCTTCGCAAGTGCTCTGGCCCGTTTGAATGCGCGATTTTCCGTCGCGGACTGGATGAGTAAAACAAACTTAAACGCTTTGGTGAGAAGCACCAGAGACACCCCCTTCCCACTCCTGACTAGGCGATGGATAAGAAACCTATAACTGACCTGGGGAGGGATCAGTGTCAATGACTGACCTGATTAGGGATCAGATCATGACTGACCTGATAAGGGATCATGTGGCCATGATTGGCTGATGAGGAATCAAATGATGACTAGCCTGATGAGAGATCAGCTGTCCATGACTAGCCTGATGAGCGATTAGATCGCCATGGCTGGCCTGACAAAGGATCAGCTGGCCATGTCTGACCTGAGGGGATTAGCTAACCATGACTGACCTGAGGAGGGACCAGCTGACCATGACTGACCTGATGAGGGATCAGTTGACCATGACTGACCTGAGGAGGGATCAGCTCACCATGACTGACCTGATAAGGGATCAGCTGACCATGACTGACCTGATGAGGGATCAGCTCACCATGACTGACCTGAGGGATCAGCTGACCATGACTGACCTGATGAGGGATCAGCTGACCATGACAGACCTGAGGAGGGATGAGCTGACCATGACTGACGTGAGGGATCAGCTGACCATGACTGACCTGAGGAGGGGATGAGCTGACCATGACTGACGTGAGGGATCAGCTGACCATGACTGACCTGAGGAGGGACCAGAGCGGTCCGCTGTCCGCGGCGAAGTCCGGTGCGGTGAGTGTCACCAGACGGTCCACCCGGTAGGGGAGGACGTCGCTCTGCTCGGTCAGAGGCAGCAGCAGGGCACACGTCACGCTCACCTGAACATCAAAACACAAACGTCAACACAAAAGACCCACGGCAAGGAAAGCAGCATAATGTGAGGTTCATAATATTCACATAGGGGACGGGGGAGCGCGCGAAAATCATATTATCCCCAAATAACTATGCTTGGTTTGGTATTGCTGCCTACATTAATTCTGACGACTTTGTTCGACAATTGGAGGAATTTAGACCATCTTGGTGGGGAGGCCAAATCAAAAGGACGCCAAGCTCCACCCAAGGAGAGGATCATGTTTAAGACCCCGCCCACACCACATACATATTCAAAGAATGCCGCGCACCGAGAAGCAGCGTCGTGAAGACTGGTCGCACGGCCACCATCGAACTTAATGCAGAGTGTTCATTCCAGAAAAGACTCGAACATAATCTGTGTGCGTGCCAGCTGATAGTTAAGAGGAGAACAGCCGTGCGACGGACGCCGATAATTGCCGGGGAATGGCAGACGTCGGATCTCGTTCCGCAGCATCTCTGGGGTGTGAAAGCCAAACGAGGTACGGAAAATCGCAAACACGCCCTCACAGTGACGGCATTCTCTATCGCTGCAGTTGCAGAACGCAAAGTATTCAAGCAGTGTAAACACCGCAACTCCGCTGTCCAAAGGCGAAGCCTCATATGTTCATCTTTTGGTCATCTTGAGTTTTTATGTAATTTGATTCGTTTTAAGCTGAATTCGATTTTTTAAAAACTATTTGAAACTTTCACAAACTTTTAGCTAAAAGTGGGAGCCAAGAGTTTGGAAAAATTTCAACTAATCGTTTAAATAACCGAATTCAGCTTGAGAAGACGAACCAAACGACATAAAAAACGCAAAACGACCACGAATGAAAAGGTGGGGTTTTACCTTCGGGCGGCACAACTATGGGCACAAGCCCAACGTTTCCTCTTATTTTGCGTGGGACCGTGCAGCACCTTCCAAATCGCGCGAACGCAGTGAGAAGACAGGGCAGTCCGTTCAGCCACGCCCTGACCGATCGGGGTGACCCAGGCTCACCTGGCAGCGGACGTCGAGAAAAGCCACCAGCAGACAGCCTTGCTGAGATCGGTGTAATGAATACTCACCGTGTTTCGGTATCCCGTCTGCAGGAATATGACTCCGTAGTATGTTCTCAGGTGCCGGCGAATCTCGAGGGAAAAAAAGTGCTGCACTCCTGCCAGCAGCCATTCCAAAAGGCGACTCTTGCCGCTGATCTCGACGAAAGACTGACGGCATGTGGATGCTGTGAGCCTTGGCCGACAGATATTTGGTATGATACGACCCGATGACCGGTATGACGACAGATACTTGGAACGGGATTATGGGGAATGTTGTCCCCTTTGATATTTTATTAAAATCAGGCACAACAAATAATGATAAGTACCCAAGCATTTTGAACCACGTGAGGAAGTAGCAAGCTGTAAAATGGTCAGTGCAACTTATTTCTTTCACACGCACTTCTTCAGAGTGAAACAAACGTAGACCACGATTCACGACTGAACCGACTTGTATCCAGTATAGCTGCCGCTGGCAATCACAGCCAAACTGCCGACGTCCTATCCCGGAACACGGAGCAACCTTAAGCCCTTCTCGATCAACTTCGGTCACAACACAGTCTTTTCGAGAATATGTCAGACCAGAAAAATGTATGTGCATACGCCTTATGCACGAAGCAAGAGCAGGCATTCCAGCACAGCAGCACCCCGTCCGTAAGGCAGTTGGCAAAGCGTTGTGATGAAATACTAAGACAACTATAGCCGTAACAGTGCCACCGCGCGCCTTACGAAATCCGGTTTAGGGTTTCGGGGCACGCAACTGCTTGGGTTCATGAGAGAGCCTTTCTTCGGCTATTTTCGGAAACAGACCTTACTTTTGAATATAAAAGCATTAAATGTTCTAATACAAAGCAAAGTTGCTGAAATTGCATGAAAACGCCTGAACTCCCAGCGCTCCAATCGATGACCGGAAGTCCAGGCTTGACCTCGGATGACGTCACGTCACAAGGGAGCTGCCATCTGACAGCCATTCACCGGCGGCTCCCTCGGTGAGTTGTGTCCATCACACGGCCAAGCCTGCGTCCGGCCTGGCCGACCGAGGCTCGGCGCTTGGCCCCGGACAGAGCGTCCCCGCCGCTGAGGGGGGCTCGGCGACGCGGGCCGGCCACTCACGCTAGACAGCAGCGCCACAGCCAGGTCGATGGTCCGGGCCGAGACACCGTCAGCCGGCAGGCAGCAGTCCAGCAGCTTGTTGCGTTGGATGACTGTGGCGGCGGCCGCGGCGCACGTCAGTCAGCGGTGAGAAACGTCCACCAGCGGCAATACGCCGCAAGAGGTCGGCAACACGACAACCAACGGTTCAATATCGGGCAACGACGGCAACTGAGCAGCGGAGAAGAGCGGCGCTACATACGCGAGTAAGTTTGTGGGGCCTCACCAAGATGACGACGCCTTTAGAATACGCATTGCGCATGACATAGATGGGACGCATTGTAATGTAGGCAACGGCTTGTCGGCAACATTGTCAAGTTCGGCAGTGATTAACGCCATTTTTGCTGTTTATTTGTGTTATAGGGCGCACGAGAATTACACTGGCTGTCTAGACTCATAAACCATGCCAGATTCATTCAACCGGCTGCAACCCACAGCAACACACACACAGTGCTGGAGGTGTGGCCGCGGCGGTATTTAACCAAATATCGTTATGTGTTCGTGTTTTTCCCCCTTTCTCGTGGTGTTTTTGCATATTCATCCGCGAGTTTAAGACGTTTCCTCGCATTCACATACTCGTTTGTAACACTTTCCGTAGGTTATTCGATTACAAGTCATATTTCTGTAGCTAATAGGAGGAATGCATAACCTCTTGCACTGTGGCACAAAACGTAACTCGTGTTAGGTCATCCGACCCTCTTCCATCCGGTCATCCGATCCTCTTTCATGTTTTATTCTTAATTCGCACGATGTCCCGCTTGTCCGGGGTAGACTGCATGCGTCAGACACGAGTGGGCCGAGAGGCCCCCCGGGAGGGGGACCCAGACCGGGCGCGTGGCATACACTTCGAGGGGTCCCTGCGCGGGCTACAGCCCGGCGGTCCACCCCCCCCCCCCCGGGGGGGGGGGGGCGCACATAGTCCTGCCCCACCGTTATCCATCCTCCTTCATTCACATAGCTCAGAAATGGTCATTCATAAACATTATTTTATTTGCGTCAGTAGGGGTGCGCACGATCGTTGTCATGACCACGGTGATCACGACTGCAGGGGAGAAGCGTAGTGCAGTTACAAAGCGTTGGCAGCGTAATTTGGGCACCGAAATAATTCAAATTGATATCCTTGTTATGTCTTGACGGTGCTGCAGCGGTACTACCCAGTGCTATCGTTAGACGTAGCTAGTCCTGGGGTTTCACTGGAGTATGCTTTTGAAATATGCCCTAAAGTTGGGATATGCCAATTGAAAGTTGGTACAGGGATCTTGTTTACAGACTGTTTCATGACAGCATGAAATGAGCATTCAGCTTTTCAAAGAAAGGTCCTACGGCAGCCCAGTTTTAAGGGTACAGAGCTAATGGTAAGTCATTCACTCACCTTTAATGGAAGACAAGGAGGCAAAAATGAGCTCAAGGGCATCAGTGCTGAAGCCATCCTTGTAGCTATCACACAGCTCTTCTAAGGCAATAAGCTTGTGTACAGTACTCCTTTGAGGGTCTGAAATGGAAGTTATTGGTTTGTTACGAGACATCGCAATGCCAAAAGGTCTTCAAGGTACAACTACAGAACAACCCAGCTGATCCAGTACAGATACATATCAATATATGTATGTTAGAACAATAGTTCAGATCTAGGTATATGTGATGCTCCTGCTATGAAGCATGTGTTTTGCAATAAAACAGGCAGATTAGCATGGTGATGATGAACACAAAACTGATGAAGATGAAAAACAAACAGGTGACAGAACAGGTATGGGTAGACCAGGTATGTCACAATAAGTACTTTGTGCTTACCCTGCAATATTGACAGCTGAGCTTGGATGGCATCTAGAGACTCTGCCATTACATCACATGTCAGGTGGATGCCCTACAGCACCTGCTGTAATGGAAAAAGAAACAAACATTAGTGAATTTGAGCCTGGCATGCTAATGGGAGCTGAAGATGCCAATTACTGCTATCATGTGTGTCCTCTCCTAAAAAATATACTGTCATGTTGCAGAGTGCTGTGTGCACACTTCAGCTCAAGCTTATGATGTCTAAGTTTTCAAAAGGATTGTTAGCTTTTAACAGTGTAAAAAGGGATAAGTCACATACTAAGTGGTCTTGGTAATCATCTGATGGGCATTAAGGAAGCTGACTAGTCTTTGCTAGAACATGGATGTCTTAGTGGAGATCTTTTTGAAGTCTTTAAATGTGTGCATGGTCAAGAACAGTTATCTCAGAGAGATATTTGAATAGAATGAAAAAACACAGGCCAAGTATAGCATCTCCTAACCATAACATTTTAAAAAGTGGATTCTGCTTCATCTGTTATTGAGCTCGAGATGAAATACAATTCAAGGGCATGCTGTTGTCAAGAGAGGAAACTAAAAGGGGCATATAACTTTATTACTTAAATACCTTGTTAGGAAGTAGACATGATCTGCAACAAACTGTGGGCATAATGTGACTTTGTCCTGAAAGCCTTACCTTGTTACCCTTCAGTTACATTCCATGAAAACAATCCTCACCTCTTGCTCCATGCCAGTCAGTAAAAAATAACATTCTCTGCAACTGACAACTGCAACTGACACCTGTGCACATGGGTGTGCTGAGCCTTGGAAGCTGTGTGCACCAAAATTAGGCCAGGCCAAAGTATGCTGAATTTGACATCATTTTTCACAAGGATTTTGAGCATTTTTGTATGAAATTTCCTATGCAAATTGACACTCTGAAAATGTTGGCTGCCCATGTACTAGAATTGGTGCTGATTAAGTGCCAACTGCGAACAGTGCTAAAATTTGCAGCCAATGTGTGCTGAACCAAAGTTGTTGCTGTGATCTCACTGTTATACATGTCAGGCATGCTTTACACAACATGCATCTTTAGCAGTCTGTGCCCTATGGAGGTACTTTATCTATAAATGGTCACAAATATTTAGGTTTATGATGGAAATTATGTTTGCCATCTATTTATAAGGTTAAGAGCACTTCTGTCCTCAGTATAATTGAATGCGCGGGTTTTAACGTAGCATGGTTAAGCCCTAAGGCGGCGTACTTTCACTGTGATTGTGGATAATGAAAAGACACTAAATACATGGGTGAATGGGATCTTACTACAGCCTTACCTACCTGGCGTAATAAACTTGTCACAGGTTAGTGTCTTACCTTACAGCACCAAATGACACAGAGGCATGGTACGTTTAAAATCGCCTGTATTTTTCAATGGATTTAAAACGCCATGTACTTCGTCAACCCGTAGCTGAAAGTCAAGGCGCGGCATCCTGCGGAAAGATGGGCAAAGCGGCAAAAGCTGCGCGATTGAAATTGAATATGGCGGTATAAATAACAAAACATTTGAAAAAGATGCACTTTTATTTTGCTGAGCTAAAAAGCCTTGCAAAGGTGCTTAGCAAACAAAAATAATTTTACTCTACCACTCCGTCATAATCAGTAGAATCAATGCTATTTGAATAAATTGAATATCTTAATACTCCTGATCACAATTTCTACTGGTTGCGTTTCGTGCGCATGTACAATGGCGCAGCCCGGAGGCACTAACAAATTTGTGTACGGGGCCGGGTACGGATCGTAGGTAGGTTGAGGGCTGTGGGTGTGTTTAGTGGGCTGGCTAGGGAACAGGTAATTCGGGGTCAATTTGAGGTGACATTGAATGTTGAAATATAGCTAAAGCACGAATAATCCGCACGGCACTGCTTACCGGGGCTATGTAATTTTGCTCATACAGAAATGAACGTAGAAATGCATAAATTTGGACGGTATGGATGGTATTTAAGGTAACATTTGGGTGTGATTATTGCTTGCGGGCATCCTCCAACATACTGGTTGGCAAATTATGAAGATGCTCAAGTTTCAACAAACTGTTTTTTTCACTAGCCATGGCTATCAGTTCAGTTTTGCCTTAAAATGGCTGATTTCAGTTAAGGTTCGGGTGTTGCAACAAGTCATGTAATTACATGAAGAATGTATTAAAAACATTAGATACACAAGATGTGATGTTTACGATCTATTGACAACATAACATGGAACTAAGCTGTGCAGTTAGCACGCACAACATGCACAAGTCTACCTGTGGTCAGCATTGCCTCATGCACAAGTCTACCTGTAGTAAGCATTGCCCCATACACAAGTCTACCTGTGGTCAGCATTGCCTCATGCACAAGTCTACCTGTGGTCAGCATTGTCTCATGCACAAGTCTTCTTGTGGTCAGCATTGCCTCATGCACAAGTTTACCTGTGGTCAGCATTGCCTCATGTGCAAGTCTACCTGTGGTTAGCATTGTCTCATGCACAAGTCTATCTGTGGTCAGCATTGCCTCATGCACAAGGCTACCTGTGGTCAGCATTGCCTCATGCACAAGTCTTCCTGTGGTCAGCATTGCCTCATGCACAAGTCTACCTGTGGTCAGCATTGTCTCATGTACAAGTCTACCTGTAGTCAGCATTGTTTCATGCACAAGTATGCCTGTGGTCAGCATTGCCTCATGCATGAGTCTACCTGTGTTCAGCATTGTCTCATGCACAAGTCTATCTGTGGTCAGCATTGCCTGATGTACAAGTCTATGTGTGGTCAGCATTGCCTTACACTAATCCTGAGCTCTGTCCATGCAGGCTGTATTGGCACCATGCTGCTGCTGCGTGGTGCTGTTCGCTGCTTGGCCACCAGCGCCCGACTTGAGGCTGGTGCAGACAAGACAAAGCTGGCGAAGCTGCGCAAAATCACGGGCTACTCCTTTGTCAACTGTAAGAAAGCACTGCAGCAGCACGACTATGACCTGGAGCGGGCAGAGGCCTGGCTGAGGGAGCAGGCTCAGGCTGAGGGATGGGCTAAGGCCAGCAAGTTGGGCGCGCGTGCGACACCCCAAGGCCTGGTGGGCGTGGCTACACTCGGCCGCGCCGCCGCTATGGTGGAGCTCAACTGCGAGACCGATTTTGTGGCGCGCAACGCCGTGTTCGACCAGCTGGTGCGGGAGGCGGCCGTCGACTGTCTGCCACTGGCCGACAGTCGGCCGGACGATTCGATCAGCACCGTTGAGCTGGCGACCGTGGCCGGCGCGGACGGCCGCAGCCTTCCCGACCGCGTGGCGCTTGCCATTGGCCAGCTGGGCGAGAACGTGACGCTGGGCCGCGCGGCCGTGGTGCGCGCCGGCCCCGCCACTCACCTCGCATCCTACGTGCACCCGGGCCAGGAGCGCGACCGCGCCGGCGTGCACGTCGGCCGCTATGCCGCCGTCGTGCTGTTCGAGATGTTCGATTCGGGCAAGGACGTGTTGACGCCGCATCGCTTCGGCCGCAACCTCTGCCAGCACATCGTCGGCATGGCGCCGCTCTCGCTCGGCGACCCGCGGCCGCCCGCCGAGGCAGATGGCAGCACCGAGGCGCCCGCAGACGGCGTTACTGGCTCGGGTTCCGGGAGCGACAGCGACGGGAAGGTGGAGACGCGCCTCCTGGACCAGGAGTTCCTGGTCGAACCGGACGTGACTGTGCGCGAGCTCCTGGCCGAGCACAATGCGCGCGTGATCGACTTCGCGCGGATGGAGTGCGGTGAGACGGCGGCGGGCGATGACTGATCTTCGGCCGGTCGGCACCACGGAGGCGGGCGGCCGGGAGTGGCGTGGAGGCGTGTCTGCGGCCTGGCGAATATTGGCATGCAGCGAGTGGGCGCGCGCTGACGGGCTAACGAGGCTGTAAACGCTCAGACTGAGGTGGACGGCGGTCTCGTGGACTGTGTAGATGTCACCTGATGCGGTTTGGTGGATTGCGTGGATGACGACCTGAAGTAGTTCGACGTGAGCGATGCTCCCGACCTCGCCGAGGTGCCGGAGGGAAAAGGCGGTCTTTTACTCTTGTATGGCAACAGAGAGGGGTGAAATTTGGACAGGTAAGAAGCTGGAGTGCTGGAATGGTGGGAACGTGCATTGTTTGGTCAGGCGTTTGTTTTTGTTGGGATGATGATGCCAGAGCACAAGGTGTGATTGCGATGGGTTTGTGTGTCTGTGGGGTAACCTATACTGTCTGCATTTTACTAGGCTCTGCGGAACTATGCGTCTGTTTTCAGCTGGACGGGGCTCGTTGTCACTGCGGCTTGTCCAATACAGAAAACAAGATGTACACAATGGGTGTAGTAGGTCTGAGTGCGTCGGTTTCTTTTTTTTGTCCTTTTATCAGTACAGCCGACCTTTGGAGGCACATCACTGCAATGTCGTCGGTGCACCGGCTCCATGCACAAGGAACGGAATTGGGGTTGCATCCGTTTGGGAATCCCGAACAGGTGCGAGTAGCACGCCCATATGCATGACGATGTCACTTTGCCGTTGCTTCCGGATTGGAGGCATGCTTACGTGCGGATTCAGTGTCCCTTGCTGTCCCGTGGTGTACTAGCAGGTCAGGACACCGCTGCTGGCGTTCAGTGCGCGTGGGGTGCTTGGGTCTCGTCAAGCGTTGTGAAGCTTTTTTTCCCTTTTTAGTGGTATGGATACTTAATCAATATCTTGGTTTGCATTGTTGGCTGGTCGCTGGCCAACCCTCAGTCATTAATTTCTCGTTTGGGCCGTCAGCAGTACCGCCCGGCTCTTCTGGTGTTCCTTGTTGCGCCTGGGAGGTCAATCTCAGCTTGAGAGACGTTTGTGGTCGCTTTCCCACCAAATATACCGCCCGGTAGATTCTGCAAACGTTGAGCTGCTCCGGAAGACGTCTGAAGACGCTTAGTCGCAGACATCGCCGAGGTGACGCCCCACCCGCTGCCCTGCTCCGTAGCCTTCAGACGCTGTCTGCGTGGTCCGCAGGCGGCGGTCCGGCTGTCTGCGGACCGCAGGCCCTGCTGACTGTCCCTATCCCCCACCCCGGCTGTTGCGCGCAGTCCAGTGGAAACGGTGCCTGAATGCATGTCCACACCTGTGCGACAGATGTGGAGCTTTGGAATGTGCAACAGTAGTGGCATCAGTGTTCAATCTACTGGCCATTAGTTGTCTACTGCATGCTCCTGGGTAAACCCGCTACATGTTCTATCGGTCGAGAAAGTGATTGTTGGTTTGTAACAGGCCACCTCCGCAGCTGAGAGCGGAGCGGAACGGTTCTGGACCGGTGTGGTGCGGTATAGCACAGATCATTGTGAAGAGCTGCACGGTAGTGGGCTAAAGGACCAGGGCCTTTATTATCATGTGGACTTGGAGGTCATCTCCACCGGAGATCCTCACCGATAAATCCCTGACGGAGACGATAGTCTGTACAATTGTTCCGTATTTGTGTGCAGCTGACAGCATGACAGCAAGGTCGACAAGATGCAGATTTGGCTTTTATGTTGCCCCGAATTCGACTGATGCAAATCGCCCAGTGTTTTGCTTTTACAGTAGACCCTGTAAAGGAGGAGAGGAAAAGGAGTTACCTAGGTGTATACCCATGTATGACGTGGCAGCGGTCATATCAGCATAATAGCCAACCTATATTACGTGACCATATTACGGGATGGAGACAGATTCAAGACCGTTCATCACTGTTCTTAATGGGAACATGTTAATTGACTCTAAGCGCGTTGACTTGAGGACGGGCTCGATGTCCCGTGGATGAAGTCGTGCAAAGTCGTGCTGGGGCGAACCTGGTGATCTGGTGTTGGATACCCGATAGGTGCGAAATGCGCACGTTTTGGATATTACCATGTGAATTATATTTTTGCTGTTATATGGGGCATCATGCAAGAGAGAAGTTTTCTCTTCCGCAAGTGCACGTGACTTTGCCTAAGTGAAAAACAAATTCGACACACAAGAGCAAAAACAATGCAAGTCAAACGCAAAGTATTGAGTTTCCTTGGTCGGGCGGATCAAACTTTGTCATTGGAAAGCTAAACAGAAAGATGCAAACATATTCTTTTGAGGTTCTTCAGGACATCTTTCATTGCCAGGCGCAAACATTACGTTTGTTGTTTGGTCAGAGCTTGCCACTTATCCGACGCTCGCTCATTCCCGCCAGCCTGTAATTTCGCTAGTAGCTCCCGTCTACGCAAACAAGAGATCGGATCGAACGCATGATAACGTCTATCTAGCCTCCTCCCACACGTCACGCCGCTCAGAGGTGACTTAGCGGCATCATCAAACACGCTTAGTGCATAAAGCCAATGGGGGACGTGGTGGCTGAGCAGCCTCAGAGCCTCACGACTCCAGCCGAGGAGGTCATACCGGGCTGTCCTAAGGGTCTGGAGCACTTGGCCGTGGCGGAGAAGGTGATCATCAAACAGGAGCTGGAAATGCTGGAGGCGCTGACCGGCTACGAGACCGCCAACCGGTACGTCATTACCAACGAACAGGGGCAGCAGATATATTGCGCTGCCGAACAGAGCGATTGTCTCGCGCGTGTCTGCTGCCGCCAGAACCGTGCCTTCGACATGCGCATCGTGGACAACTCTGGCGTGGAGGTGTTCCACTTGCTGCGGCCGTTCCGCTGCGGCGGCTGCTGCTGCTCGCCCTGCTGCCTGCAGCGGTTAGAGGTGTCGCGCGGCGGCCAGCTGCTCGGCCTGGTGACACAAGACGGCCGGCTCTGCTCCACCAGCTTCAGTGTCCGCTCGGCGACCGGCGACACCCAGCTGAAGATCACCCGCGCCTGCTGCACCTGCCGCTGCTGCGGCGAGCGCAAGTTCAAGATCAAGTCGGCCGACGGGAAGCACGACGTGGGGACGCTGGGCAAGTGGTGGGGCGGCTTGGTGCGAGAGATGTTCACGGACAGCGACAAGTTCTGCGTGCAGTTCCCCCGAGACATGGACGTCACGGTCAAGGCGACAGTTGTTGGGGCGGTCTTCCTTATCGACTTCATGGCGTTCGAGGACAATAATGCGTAGCGCTGCTCGGTCGCAGTATGTGGTGTAGAGGCTGGCAGCAGTGCAGTGCCCGACGTTCGTACAAGCCAACGTCTGACACCACCTGCACCGCGTGATTTCGTAAATCACTTCACTTTCCACCAGTCATCACTTTTCGTTAGAATACCAATGAACTCGCGGAAGCCCCTTGCGTGGTGCATTCACGCCGTTTACTGCACAAATGTCGACGATAGAAACGAATGAGCGCGTTACCACGATGTGAAGCGCGTGTATGGGTGGTGTGTAGTGTACGAGTGAAGAATAATACAGCTGATTTTGCGTTCATCAACCAGTTTATGCTTTACGTTGTGAATTTGTCACTGCGTACCATCTTACAAAGGCACATTATCGCTCGGTGAAAACGATCGCAGCAGAAACTAATGACTGAAGGCATTTTGGCGATATGTTAAGGTACCTACCCTGATTTTAGCTTAGTGTTCAAATCATTAGGGGTGGTAAAAGTGGCTATTTGTTCGCCGACCAAATGTCTGCAAGCAGATTGTCGCTAGCAGCGTACCGCGATACCGTAAGAAACCAAATGGTAATTAAAAGCATGCCCAGTCGCGCTGCCGGGAATCGGCCAATCGCCGAAAGTCCCTTTCAGTATCACAAAGTTCAGTATTATGTACACAACCAAAACGCTCGTTTATGAAATTTCCTTTGAGTAATGGCTAACACACTTCCAGCTTACTACATACCATTGTACTCATAACTGAACAAGAAACACGCCCCTCTACGTTCCATGTCTCAACGCTGCATAGTTACGTACATATGAGTATACAACGCTGAAACAGCTTCAATTTCAGGAAAATCTTACCTCATACTTTACCTAATAGTCAATTAACTGCGGGAGCCTTCTTACCAATCGCAAGACCCCGCTCAAGACAATTCACTTAACTTTTTGCCGCGGGGTTCTACCTTTCTTTGCACCAACACTCAGCCTCTGTTCACCGTTGCTCTAATATAGCTCCGCCTGTCACCCGGGTATACTAGGCTGGCGACCCGATGTATGGACAGCGTATAAAGTCGCTGTCGCCGATGTCGTACAGCGTTTACCGCGGATCAGTCCTGCACCCCACGCGGTAAATATTTCATTCAACGCAACATGTATTGGTGAGAGTAGACAAAGACGGTAGTAGAATGGCAAAGATGATCGCACACATGCATATAAGTTCCCTGGGAGCACGATTGTCTGAATCGATCCTGGGGCGATCTTGAGCGTGCTTACCGGCGCCTCCCAACCGTGAGTTCAAGCCATGTGCAACAGCCTCAAGACTGCTGTCAGGACTTCTGCGTCACCAGGGTGCTCACGGCATTAGTTAAGCCGGGGAGAGGATTACCTGGCGAGTAGTCCCGATGGGGCCGGGGCACAGAGTGCCCCGATTCTCCAATCTACAAGCCTGAGGCACGCTCACAGGTGTGGGCAGAGCTATCCCTACCGGCCGGCACATACAGTATGCGTGCCAGCCGCGGGAAGGAGGCCCCGGCCGCATGGAATTGGTGGGCGAAAGCGGGTCAGTCTTCAGAGCTGGATGTGTGTGAACGTGCATCCGCATTCTGGAGGCCGCCAACGTAGCACCGTTTCGCCATGATATGGGCTTTGCCTGCGCCCCAATGCTGGCATTAGTAATTTTTATACCAATTTCAAACATAACACAACATACCCCCCCCCCCCCTCGGAGAGCAGGACGAAAATCCCCTCACTCCCAGGGGAGGGCGGGGATCGTGGGTTTCTCCCATGGCGATTCCCACAATCCGTTCACAGCACAAACAACATCCAGTTACGGCCACGCTGCCATAAAGATCGCTCACATTCCCACAGTGCACGCATGCAAGTTAGTTCACACTGTGAGCTTCACACATCAAGCATTAACATGTCCCTTACTTGAACTTCCACTATTGGGTTTTCACCGATTTCCCCTCACTGCAATATCAATATATGCCACCGATGCGGCTGGCGCGGACGGTGACAGCTGCAGCAAACGGCAAATGCTGCAACAGCTGTGGGTAGACGGCTGGAGCTGCGACAACTGCGACTGACGGCTGGGACTGCGGCCGCTGCGACGAACATCAGGAGCCGTGGCAGGTGCAGCCACCGGCTGGAGCAGTGACAGCCGCACCAGACGGCTGGAGCTGCGGCAGCAGCGGTGATCGGCCGGAACCGCGGCAGCTGCGGCACACGGCTGGCGCTGCGGCAGCTGAGGCGTACGGCTGGAGCCGCGACAACTGCGTCTGACGGCTGGTGCTGCGGCCGCTGCGACAGACGCCCTGCGAACCGCTAGCAATTTAACCCCTCTGCTCTTCAAGCTAACACACTCCACCCTACCCTCCAGCTCGTCATTCACCTCGCGCCCATCACGGCACGCCTGACACTACACACACAGACATGCGACTTATAAATCAACATTTCATACCACACTCACTCGCCCCTAATGGGTCTCCTCGCTCTTTACACAAACAGCCGGCTACCACTTGGCTCCGCGCCACTCCTTGCTTTTCCTCATGGTTACGGAATGAAGCTCCTTTAATTAGGTTGCCAGCCATCCGAGTAAAATTTGGAACAAAGGGTCAGGAAGGATTATTGGCAGAGGAAAATCGATACACCCATTCGCCAACGTTCGTCTTACTAACCTTAACAAAGTGAGCCATACATCAGCCCTCTCCGTACGTTCCGTGAAATATCTCACATGCAGTCCCAGTCGACGGTCCAGTGCCCCACCATCCATTGGCGCTGTCCATCCTTTCCTGTCTCCACGGCGTTGTCCCCTTGGATCGGCGCGCCCGCACTTCCCAGTTCCGCCATGCACCTCTTACCACATCCCCCTTACTCGCGCTTGACGCACTTCCCACGTTTCCAACTGCTTGCCTCGTCTCGCCGGACCATCTCCCGGGCGGACCGCGTCCGCGGCCTGCGACGTACCACTCGAGACCCGTTATGCCCACCCGTGATCCCCCATGCCCCCCCCCCCCCTCGAGCGCTACGCCCGGTCTCTCTCCCGGCCCGGGCGCGAAGGCTTCGCATCGCGCCGCGGGCCGCCTCGCTGGCCCACATGTTTCGCAGCACACCCGGTGCTCACTCGGCACGCCGCGCCGTTCTCTCCATGCCCCTCACTACACTGCTCTTGCTCCGCGCGCCGTACTCTCTTCCTCTACCTTGCACTACGCACTACGCCCGTCCCGCTTGCCGCGCTGCTTTCATCTCCCCCAATATACACGTCACCCTAAATTTGCGTCTACACTGATCCACACTACCCGTCCTATGCACCACTCTCCCTCCTCCTGTCCTCTACCACCACCCACCATTCTTTTTCCCTGCTTGCCCTCACCAAGCCACTTACACATCGCTCGCTCGTACAAATGGACCACAATACCACAAAACTCCTGCTATTTGAAGTGAACATCTTGTTAAAGAGGGAGAGGGCAATGCAACTAATATCTCCTCACCCTTATTGCCTACCTTTGCTAAACCACCCCAGTCCTCACTTCTCATTACCTTCTCGTTGCCCAAGTCATTGACTTTCGTATGAATCTCCAGCGACCAAAATTCATTACATTCAAGATAATTGTTTAAATCCTGACAAAACATTGAAGAAATAATTACCTTTCAGGGGCATAGTTTTTGAAGATAGGCCGGGGGAGCAGAGATCAATTGTCCAACCTACCCCTCAAATGTGGATGTCTCCCAGATTGGCACCCTTTTTCACAAACTTAGGAGGAGGGTTGAATCCCTGAACTGAACAGTAAACTCGGTGCGCGCCTGGTTTGTAGATCTATGTGACTGGTAGCCATTTTCAATCAGGAAAAAAGCAAAAATAGCATAAATCGTCACTTCAAAACCATTTTCACCTCCTGGCATTCCCTTTCATGAGGAGTGTCATCAGCCCCCAACATCGAACTCACAGTTCTTTTCCAAGGGAGGACGTTTGGTAACTTGTGACTGCTTCAGTGAGTCAACAGCCTTTCCAGTGTCTTGAAAAGGCGGTCTGGCTCAAAGGCGTAGGAACCTCTCAAAAAGTGAAGGGCAAAGCTCAGGGCGCACTCCAGGAACTTTTTCTGGAAAGCATGCCCGATGGCCGGGGGAGGGGAGGGGGTTTACCGCCGTTCGGTTTTACGGAAGCTGCAATCCAGGCCACCCTGTCCTTGCTCTCAAGGTTGCGGACGGGCATGTTCAAACCTTTTGATGTAATTTTCCCCCAATCCATTTTGAAAAAAATGAACGTCCTCCGGCAAACATGAGATAGCCTAGCTCATTTCATTAAACAAATTCATTTCGACCCACTCTATTCAACAATAATGAGGCTACCACTCTATTTAACAACAATGAGACCCCTTATTTCCTTCCGGGCCTCTTGAGTTGAACTCCATGGGCATATTACCGGTTCCGGCCAAGAGCTGAAGGGCCACTCCGTCCCATCGCGAAGTGTCTTCGGGCTGTCATTCTGACGACACGGGGCGAAATCTCCTGGTCGATCCGGAGGCCGTTAGAAGGATATATCATATCGCATTGTTCCCCTACCTGACACGGGAGGCCTTCTGACCCGCGCAGTTGGCCCCGGATCAGCACAGGAACCCTAATTCACGCAACGACGTCCCTGATCGCCGTGGGTGGTCCAATACTTGCCACATAGGCTTTAGTTCCATGTTTTTGTGTCCCTCAGAGATATTGAGGACTCCCTGAACGTAACTTGTAGAGGAATAGGGTCCCAAATTTGTATTAACATGGCTAATCCGGGTCCGTCCTAAAATGCCCAAGATTTAGTCAGAATTGACCGCTGATAAAAACTTTGTAACGTGGTTTTAAACACGCGCGCTCGAAAGCCATAGCAACAACAGCCCCGACGCCCGACACTGCAGTCTCCGTAGACCGCGCGGCGACGGTCTGTGGCTGCAACACTAAGCTATGGCCATAAGCAAACGAAAAAGATGACACATCTTGGGGAAGATGGCTGGTGAGCTAGGTGAATCGGCATGTATGTATAATGCTGTGGAAACGTAAACTAAACGCTACCTTAATCTGAAAAGTGGGGGCCAGTCCACAAAGCTGCCCCCACCTTCAAAAGTGAGGGGCATGGCTCTCTAGCCCCCCCCCCCCCTGTTCCTACACTCATGGTCTGGATAACAACAGACTTATGTCTACCTGGATCAGGTCATCGTGCTGACTCACCCTGGTCGCCGCCCACCTCATATCATTCGTATCGCAACGATTGAAACATGCGCTTGTGGCCCGATGAGTCCCCATATCCGGGTATTTTTCAGAGGCTTAGAATGCCTTGTTTGGGACACTGAGAGTCAGCTGGAAGAAACAGCGAATCGGCCGACTGGCCGAGCCAAGGGAATCACAGCTCGAAACGCTGTTGAGGTCAAGGGCAAGGCTATCTAACGTCCAGGTCCAGGGTCCTTCTGCGCATTTGTGTATCATTTGCGTCATGTTTGGGAACACGCTTTCCTTAGCGATCAGCTGATAGTGGTTTACCAAATATAAAAAAATTATTGATTACACTCGTGTATGCATACAAAAATGGTAGACGTCTTGGAAAATCGCTACAATTTTTTGTTTAATGTACGATATGCAATTTGCAAGTTTCGTTTTGCTTCACGGAAATAAGTTTGATTTAAAATGGTAAATTGGATATAAATAATATTGTTCTGTAAGGATAGCGACACTCCCTTACGTTACTGAATGTTACCAACGCAGCGATTGGAGGGCAAATCCGTGCGGGCGCGTCGTGCTGGTGTGTTGTTATTACAAACTGTCTTCACTTTTACCCCTCACTCAGCAATTTTCAACCGTAAACATTCACAGCGCGCAAGCAAAAGGAGCCTGTTCAGCACAAGAATGGAATATGACGACCTGGACGAGCCAGCGGCAATGTCATGCATGGAGTCAAGAGGCCAAGAACAAATTAGTGGGGCGTGGCACATCCAGCCCACTGGCCCTCACACATTTTGTTCCAGTCAATTCAATACCCATTGTTCTTCTGCCGAGGCTGAGTCAATCTTGTCCGCGGCCGAAGCGTGTCATGCCACACTGTTGCCGCGAACGCACTCCGCTACGCGTGCCTATCATTCCTTGACAGGAAGTGTGCCCCTGCTCGGCGGGCTGTCGGCCCCGTTGGAAGATGGTGTTGGGTGTCATCTAGCGCGTCTGCGAGATGATCTGGACGATCCACAGGATCTCCCACTGGCACCGTACATAACGATCGGCCTGGTGGATGACTTGGATGAGGCAGTAGAAGAGGCTGTACCTCCTCCAGGCACGGAATTCAGCGTACTGGATGACCTCGACGAGAGAGAGGAGCATGTTGCGCCGCATCAAACGGACCACGGCCTAAGAGACGACCTGGATGAACTCATTCAACCGCCTCCATCTTCTGGACGAGGGGGACCTGATTGACGACCTGCACTGATCCCAGTTGACGTTGGGCCGCCACTAACCCAAGGAAATATCAGGAAGGAAGAACTCCTGGATGACCTCGAAGAAATGGTCGACCTTCGGCCGCCGAGTGGAGCGCGGAGCGAGCTAGACTGCCTCCGAGACGACCTGGACGAGCTGCTGGTGGACGAGCTGATCTCCGAGGTCAGCGACCTGGTCCTGCAGGGCCGGCGCGCCGAAGCGGCGCTGGACGGGGCGGACGCTGGCGTCTCGGAGGCGGTGAGGAGGGCAGCCGCGACCGTCGCCCAGCGGCGCTCTCCGGCCCGGGCCGCCGACTGCTCAGCGGCGGCCGCGGGCGATCGGCGCCGGCCGGCGAGTGGTCTGCAGTCACCGCCTCCCACACCGACAGCGGGCCTGTGCCGAGGCCTGGGTGTGGATGGTGCCCACATGGAGGTGGACGAGTGGCGCGCGCCGTCTCCCGAGCCCACCCCCGCCGCCGGGAGAGTGCACGGCCTGTCGCCATGCGGCGGCCAGCCTCCGCCCGGGAGTGGCGTGGAAGACGATCCGGACATCCAGCTACCTCTGACGGGCTCCCTCTGCAGCCCGCTGCGTGAAGCACGTCACCTGGCGTCATCGTCACGACTGGCTGCGTCACAGTCACAGCCCAGAGTTGGCCTGTCCGAAGCAACGCCGTCCCGGTTCCAGCCAGCCACGCCCCGGTCTCAGCCAATCAGTCTTCAGTGTCCGTCTCCAGCCGTCCGCAGTCAGTCCTCGGACCTCCAAACCCGGTCACCGACAGTTCAGTCTCAGCCACTCCCAGGCCAATCCCCTGCTGTCCAGTGTCATTTCTTCAACGCGTACACGTCTTCTCTGTCTCCCGAATGCCAGCCCATGACGTCCAGAAACCACTCCCCAGTCCTCCAGCGCCACTCCTCCCCTGCCGCCACCCTCCACCCGTCCTCACCACCCCAGCACACGCCTCCGGAGAGTCAGCCCCAGTCCAGCGATCCGTCCCCCGGCGGTGACCCGCGGTGTCACGTTACTGACCCCTCACCCAGAGCCGCACGGCGGCCCGTTCACACGGTCACCGTGCTGCGGCGCATCGACGCCCTGCTCGCCGCTGTCGCCGCCTGCCGGGAGCGCGGCGAAACTCCTGAGTTAGTTCTCCCTGCGAAAACTAGGTGGCAGGACCTGCGGCTGTGTGACACGTGAGTGAAGGTGGAGGGTGGGCGGCGGGCAGGGGCGACGTAAGGCGGTCAGCACGGGGGCCGTGACGCGCTGTTCTCTCCTGTTTGTGTATCACCTCACTAGTGGCCGACAACTCACCTCACTAGTGATCGACAACTCACTTCACCAGTGACCGACAACTCACCTCACCAGTAACCGACAACTCGCCTCACTAGTGACCGACGACTCACCTCACTAGTGACCGACAACTCACCTCACCGGTGGCATGACAAATACTAATGGAGTGCCGACAGAACCTCATCACGGATTAAGTAAAGCAGTGGGAACCATCCATTCATCTCCTTAACCATCACGTTGTTCACGTGAGCCAATGGTGTCCAAGCATCACTGAAGGTTCGTTACGTCTGCTAACCGCGTGGCACGTCTAACAGACCGCTGCGCCCTCAGAGCTGGCCATCTGGTAGTGTCGGCAGCGGCGGCTCCTCGGGCCGACATGCGCGTGCGGAAGGAGAGCAAGCTGAATATGATGGTGCTGCTGCTGGAGAAGATCCGCCACCTGGTCGCCACCAACACCCACTCCACCAAAAGGTGGGCAGTGCGGGTCCCTTTTACCACCGGTCTGACTGTGGACCGCTCGGGGGATACAGACTCATCGTACACAGCGTGAGGTTGCGATGAGACACACTCCGCCTGAACGTGTCGGCGGCGGCAGACGCCTTCAGCGGCAGCGGCTGTTGGTGGCAGGCGCTGAACAGTGCGACGAAAGCATGACGCGTGGTTGTACGATTGACTGCGGGGCTGCTGCACTGCAGAAAAAAAGTTAACACTTTCCCCTTTCAGGTGATGTGGCAAGTTGTGTTTATTTCAAAGGCATGACATCACTTTATCAGCGTATCAAATTAGCAAGTGCTGGTCCACGTCCGGATCGGTAACGAACGCTTCTCGTGATGAGTGTGTGAATGTTGCGTTTTAAACGCGTCCCCAACCTGTGGTCAGTCGAGCGCCTTCGGAGAAAAGTTTGTTTCAGACTTGCGTGCTCATGCGCCAAGACCCAAGGAGCTATGCATCTGGTGCCGCTGGACCGCCTTTGTTATCCCACTCACCACCAAAGCCCGCTGCCTCCCGGGACACCCGCACCAGGTTCGAGACCGTTGCAGGGACATCTACTACCAGGAGGTGGCGCTGTTCGGCAGCCAGCGGGCTGTCGACGCTCTGTTGGATGACGTCACACGCCTGCTGGCCATCCCGCGCCAAAGCTCGCACGTACGCGCCACGTCTAAGGGCCTGGTGGCGGGGGACCTGGTGCTGCGGAGCGGAGACGTGGTGCTGGACTGTTCCGCCGCCCGGCACGGTGAGGCGACGGAGCACGGGAGCTGCTGCGCTGTGGGACGCTGGGATGGGGTAGCTGCTGCAGGGGGGGGGGGGGGGCGACGCGGGGGAGGGGGTGAGGCGAGGTAACTGCCGCACGGTAGGACGCGGAGCAGGATTGAGACAGGTGAACTGAATTAGTTTGAAGGAGATGTGGACAAATACGATATGCCTCTATGATGGGCGCACATGATAGGCCGATACCGTCAGAGTTGTCACGCTCCGTCTCTGAACGACAGCGTTCCGTAGTGCGGGACGAACTGTGGAGTGGGAGGATGGGTTGGAGGCCGATGGGAGAGATGGGTAGGTAGAAGACCAGGGATTTGGAAAAAACAGCATGTTAGTTTCGACTAACAACATTTTGAAAATCAACGTGTCGGTTGCGACTAAAGGTCGGCGATATGTACCATTTCGACAACAGCACCACAAGCACCAAGCATTCCATGTCAGCGCCATCCAGCTGCCATTGCCCCCCCCCCCCCCCCATACACGTGGCTCTCAGCCGTCAGTTTCCGATCTGTTCGTCACACCGGCCGTGCCGATCACCCGCCACCGCAGGCCTGCTGGTGCCAGAGGACCTGCCACACGTGCAGCTTGTGCGCTCCTCGGCCCGCTTCATCCTGGTGGTCGAGAAGGACGCCACGTTCCAGAAGATCCTGGACAGCCGGCTTCTGCGTCACCTGCCGCCCGGCATCGTTATCACGGTACGTGACGGCGGGGCGCGGCCACGCTTGCGCCACGGCGATGGGACGCCTGCCCTGCGCTGCAGGACGGCGGACAAGTGGTCATACGTCCTCTCCTGCCACCAGGCAGGATCTTCTTTACGGTGAAAGACCGTCAGCTGCCAGCTTGCGAATTGCGTAATCCTGTGTTTTGTGTGGCGATGGTGATAGCTGTACTATCTTCGAGCGATAAATGCTAGTCGAGAGCGGCATCCATTGGGACGATGGTATGAACATCGACGAGCGATATGACGATGAACAGCATCCGATCGCATGGGCTGATAACAACGTCACGAGCCCGGATAGACTGCGACAGAGCGTTCCAGTACACAGCTGCGCCTCTCTGCGCGCCACCGGGCCGCCGCCACGTCCAGCTATGGCCGGCGCATATCCCCCTGCGCCTTCCATCGGTCCCCGGCCACCGGCCGCCGGCAGGGCAAGGGCTTCCCGGACCTGAACACCCGCCTGCTGCTGCGGCTGCTGACGACGCAGCTGCAGGTGCCGGCGCTGGCGCTGCTCGATGCTGACCCGCACGGCCTCGAGATCCTCTTCGTCTACAAGTACGGCTCGCTGGTGAGGCTGTCCCCCGGCGGCGCCACGGCCGTCTCCCTCCAGCCGGGGCACCGGGCGGGGGACTGAGTACCTGCCGGCTCGCGTGTCTGTCTCCTGTGTGAGTTTTTGCGCGGGGCGTGGTGCGAGGTTTAAAACAGGGTCGAATTTGCGCCAGACTGGCGTGCGAGGCGTCCGCGTGATGACGCGTGCGAGACACGCGCCATCAGACGCTCGTGATGGACCGAGCAGAGCGGACTGGATGAACAGGTGCGTATGTGGGGCTAGACTGGCGACACAGACCACGCGTCCATGTATGGGCAGCTGCTCCGCTGGTTAAAGACGTTCAGTTCTTGGAGAGATGCTGTGTATAGGAATGCTTCTTTGCAAGTAAGCGTGCATTAAATCACTGGTCGAGGAATGAGCTGCTGCGCTCCGTCATGGATGCCGTCCAGAATCCGCAGTCTGATGACTGCAATCTGATAGGGAGGGGCTCCGGCCTGAATAACCCATAAGACGAATGCATATGAATTCGAGCTGCATCCCATGCACCCCCGTGACGTAGGCTATGCAAGACATGCATTGAGACGTGTCCATGTACGATGCTTTCAAAGCGAACTGATTCAGTAAACAGAACTGCTCCAGATGTATGCACGTTATTCTGGAATGGATAGCGTTACCTTTTATTGCAAACGTTTGACTTTTAAAATGTTATGAGGAACGTGCATAATGGCGAACACAAGCTCTGCTTTAATATTTGGTGAAGGGTCCTCATATGCCCACTCTGCACAAATGCACTGCAGACAACCGCCTTAGGCTTATGTCTTCTGAAATGTGGACACAGCGATGAATTGTAATACGTAAGGGCTCGACATGCGCGGTTCCAGCGGTTTCTAATTTTGTGTGACGCTTGGGCTGTCTGTATGCACGTATGCGTGAACTGGTTGTGAGCCGCTGCTGCCGCAGGCTCGTGCTCACGAGGCGGCGAGTCTGGCCACCCCGGACCTGATGTGGCTAGGGCTCCGGCCGACCGAGGTTCTCCAGCTCAACATCCCGCAGACAGGTCAGCGACCCCGGTCTGGTCCAGACTGGAATCGAGAATCGTCAGGTCGTTACCCTTTCTTTGTAGCGCACAGAATGAGGGCGCGGATCGATGCTTCAAATCCTAGACGGACGGATTACTCCAAGAACGCGTTTGTCATGAGTCATGGGAATGGTCCGGTTATCATGGCTGCTCTCGGACAGTGATGGAAGATACCACTTGCAGTGCAGCGTAACGTACATGTCCTAGCCACTGCACGGGCGGAACAGTCACAGACATCCAGGACAGGTATACCGCGGCCAGCGTCGGTGATCAGTGACCAGTGGTGACCCCTGGAAACCCTTGGTGCTCCCGCCGCCGCGGCCGCCAGCTGACGGCCTGTGCCTCCGCAGCGCTGCTGCCGCTGTCGGCGGCCGATCGGGGCAAGGCCCAGAGGCTGCTCTTGCGGCCGTACGTCAGGCACAACCGGTTCTGGCAGCGGCAGGTCAGTGTGGCCGACTGGCTGGCCGGGGGAGGGGCGGGGGCGAGGGCGGGTCAGGTGGGGACTTGAACTGAGGCCGTGCCGGGTGTTTGCGTGGAATGAACACGAGAACGGGATTCAGAGAGTGTGCGACTGGTGAGGTTAGCAGGCGAGATCAATGGTATTTATATATATATATATATATATATATATATATATATATATATATATATATATATATATATATATATATATAGTGATGTTATGGGAACGTTTCTTTTCCCCACCAGCAGAATGAATGCCTAGTGGCGTTCAGGCCTACAGCTTCTAAAACATAGCTGTTTCTACTGGAATTTTTATTTAGGATTGACTAAAAATGCTAGAAAAAATCGTAATATGTAAGGAAAGAAAATTCGAATAGGTCGTCACGCTATTTTTTGGCTCGTTCATGCAAACTGATGAGTAGTACACATGATGGTGTCCTCTCCTGACCGGCGCTTACAATAATTCAAATCTGGTATTTTAGTTGTTTACATTCCACGATCTAACGTGGACAGTCGTTTGCTGTTGGTGTGATTTATAGGAAAGCGGCATTCTAAGCTGGCCCACCTGACGCCGTTTCCCGTGCTCTCCGTTCAGATCCGCGAGATCCTGGCATCGGGACGGAAGGCCGAGATTCAGACCTTGAGTGCCCTACACCCGACCTTCCTCACCGACCTGTACCTGCCCAGCAAGATCGGGGAGTGTCTCTCGACGGCGCGCGGGGAGCTGCCGGCTCCGGCTCCGGCTCCGGAGGAGGAGCCGTATCGGGAGTCGCTCCGGTCGGGGCCGGGAGCCGAGGCTGTGTCTCTCGGCCCCGAGGTTATCCAGAACGCTGATATCGAGCGCTGAGCACGGGCAGCGCCTGGGCACGAGTCGGTGCCGAGTCGGAGTCGGTGTCGAGTCAAACTCGATGTCGAGTCAGGGTCGGTGCCGAGTCAGAGTCGGTGCCCAGTTAGAGTCGGTGCCGATTCAAAGTCGGCGCCGGGTCAGAGTCAGTGCCGAGTTAGAATCGGTGCCGCGTCAAAGTCGGTCGAGTCGCAGCGCGGGTGGCGCGCCGGCGAGGGACTCGCGGTGACCAGGCCCCGGGGAGTCGAGGGAGCACCCTCGTCCTGTGCTGGTGGGGTGGGCGCACACACGCCATACTGGCTGTGACGCGGTTGGGTGGGGGGGGGGGCTTCAGATGAGAGCGCAGCGTGGGGAGCTCGGAGTGCGCAACCTGAGGCATGCCGGTGTGCAGGGAGATGGCTGTAGAATGCTGCAGGTGAGTGGACTGAGTTCACTGCATGCGTGCTGCCGCCGGTGTTCCAAGCGAGGGCAGATCTGTGGCAGGCATATATGATCCAATTGGATCACGTGAGTCAATAGTGAGAAGCTTTACTGTGAAATCCACTGAGAGTTGGGCGCATTGACACGCCAAGCATACATTCAGCTCGGCTCTGGCGGCTTCAGGCAAAAACGCAGACGCCGAGACCAGGTAAGAACATGACGTCAGCTGGCGGAGAGGTCGTATATTTACGTTTCCACTCTATTCAGCTTGCCGGGTGGTTCGAGGAGCGGTCCCTGCGCATGCTACGCTATGATGGGACCTTGTGATGCTTTCATGACGTGTCTCGACCGACCGTCGGATGTATTAGCAGTCCTCATCGCGTTTATCGTGTGCTTTTCTGCGAGTGTGCGTCTTCGTAAGTATGGGTTGTGCCTTAATCCAGACGCGTGCAAACGCGGAATGTATTTGCGTGATTTGGCCATGTCGACCATGTATTTGATGCTAGTTCATCAATACCAGGCCAGGATGCCGTCTTATTTTGTTGCTTGCAGGGTAAAATTAGCTGTCATTTTCTTCGCAGCGCTTAATTGTGCCGTTCATTTGCGTTGGTACCACGGTAGCCATTGCCACTGGCATGGTGCTATGTTGCGACATGGAGGAACGGTGGCTGTTACGGTTGTTGGCGTCACTTTGTGCTGGTCATCGCCACGCTCTTGGCGAAATCATTACATCGGCTCATTCTTTTGGTAGCTGCCGTGTTCCAGTTAAAGAACTCATGCTTTGGTTGTGCTGTGGTAACGTTGATTATGCTCATATGATAATTGTCATGTTATGTTGTTGTTATGACACTATTAATCATGCAATTTCTGTTGTAGTGCCAGCGTCCAGCTGCTCGCGCCACGTTTTGATCATGTTAACAATGCTCCGTTCATTTTTGCATCAGGATCATGTCCGTGGCATTCCGAAGATATCTATCATCCTTCGATCATTATCAACACCGAACCGCAGTAATTCTGTCCTTAGCGTGTATCTTGTGCTCTGATCAAATCAGCTATGTTTCAATCGTGTTTACCGCATCCTGGTCCAATCTGTCATGTTGCAATTATGTTCCTCTTGTGATTGTGATTCCGTTGATCACCGTTGTTTTGTACGTCGCTTTTCTTATTTGTTTCGTGTTTATAAATGCCTTCGAGCCGCATGTTCTGCACTGTTACTGCTAATGCCTCATGTTTTTATTAATAATTATGCTCTGGTGACAGTCGACGGGCCGTGATCACCACATGGTGATCGCTTCTTCCTTTACGTGTGACACCGTTCACACACGGCGCTGATCATCGTGTTAGCCACACACACACACTCATACACGCGCGCGCACATACACACGCCCACGCACATACACACGCACACGCACATACACGCACGTGCTGGTGGTGCACCAGCGTTGAGAGCTCAGTGTGCTCGTCACAGTGGTGACGTCAATACGCCAGACGCATGTCTGGCTCGCGTCAATGGAAATACAATCATAAATCAAGATATTTTCGGGGTTGCCGTTTCCAACGACAAAAGACAAAAACATGCTGCTGAAATATTATCAACAGCAAACGTCGCTGGCGTTATTTTACCTATAGCGCGATATTTTGTCTAATAACGTGAAAAACTGCGCCAATGCTGCTTTACCATATCCGTCATGCGATTTGAATATTTGTAACGATATGGTTAAGAACGCTCGATTGCATGGCATATACACTTACCGCCGTGAAGCTTCATCGGCCGTATGGTCAAAGTACAGTCAGCAACTGGGTGCATGTCAAACGTATGTAGTACCGACGTCGTCGTTGGGAATAAAGCAGGCACTTGACCACGGAGGCTGCATGGCGCGCTTGCCTCCCACCCTGGCAGGAAGGGCGAGCGTGGCGGGAATCGAACGCAGGACCTCTGGTTTCCCATACGCGTACTACACAACCGAGCCCCATCAGCAATACCGGGCTTCAGCCGGTTGGTGCCGACAGACGCTTGTTAAAACCGACTGTGTGGCGACTTTCGGCGCAGAAGGCGTCCGCGGGCACAGCAATCACGTGTCATCGGTCTGGGCGGGGTACATTACACAGGTGTGAACGACAGCGGCCGGCGGCCGGCGAGAGCGTGAACCGCACGCGGCGCTACGCTCGCTTATCGGAGAGGCGAGCAATGCGACGGCGCAGCGGCCGTCACCAACGCTAACAGTGCTTGTCCAAATTGATACCGTGGTTGACGGGATTGTGTGCCATTAGGTAGCTGTGGTATATGATAGGTGCATGCAATGATTCAAGCGATTTCGTTAAGTGCTGCTTTGCGTCGTCCCTTTGTTAACGTCTTACATGCATACATTCTTCTTAGGACATTGATGTCAGGAAGTATAGCCTACGTTTGCCTATCCGTGTCTCTAACTACCGTGCTTCACGGGCGTCATTCATCAGCTGGGCGTAGTTTAATTCATGTGTATGGACCGTAATGAACAAAGCTGGCACAACTTCCCGCACACACACATCTCAGCTACACGCAGTTATTGCACTGAGCGGCGCGGCGATGCATACAAAATGATCGAGTCCTAATCGAATAACCTCTGACATTGATCAATTGGTTGCATCATTGTCGTTGAGTTGACCGTTTTTGCCGAGAGGACCAGTTGGGTTGTGTTACATTCGGGTGAAAAACCTGTCGACTTTCTAAACCGCCGGTAATATCCATTACGACGCTGCTTGATATCATCGTTTGATAACCATTTCATAACTATATATAGTCCGGTTTCAAAGGCCGCGTATTGTCGCCACATCCAAGTCGTCGGCTTCCTTGCAGAAGTCGACAGGTTATCGTGCCTGTAATACAAATGCAAATGCTTGCTGGTACCTGGAAGATCCCTCCCTACGCTACCTGCGCATATCTGACATTGGCGAGCACAGCGTCAACTCTCACTGCCGCTGGTGTCGGTTGATTCCAGTGTTACTTATTTGTCAACTTCCCATTTGATCAACGCTGCAAACGTAACATTTCCTGATTTTGATGACACTGAGGAGCCGAGTTTGAGGATTGGTCCCGACCTGGCAACGCAGCCTCACACCGACACAATCCTAGTGCACTTTGACCCAGGGGAGAATAAACAATTGTGCTGTCTAGAGTATGGGTTGATGCCTGCAGCCGGTCGTACCAAAGTACCTGTCTTCGCACTCGAACACAGACCATGCGTACACCAGTTCTATGACGTTTTTGAAAGCGTATCTTAACAACCAGAAACGATCAAGACACGTAATCAACTGTTTGGTGCAGGCAAAGCTGTCGTCTACAAAAGACTAAGCGACTTCCATAGCACGGTCCAACCAACAGCGGCGCCAGCAATCGACCAGGAGACGTCCAGTGTCGCCTTTTAGATCCAGTCTCCAATATCACGCTCTGGGCATAAATTGAAAAGAGCTGCGCTGGTAGAACTACACAGGTCTGCCCAGCACCTTTTGTCCGATGATCACTCGAAGATATGTTGGTGTTTTTTCCCCAATGGTCTGAACAAATTCAGTGATCCAAACTAATGGAATTCGTCGCTTAAAATAGTCAAAACTGCCAATTTGCTTACCACACTCATGAAACTGGGGCATTGCTGTGCATTGATAAAGAAAAGTTGCATGGGATTTCAATTTCAAAGGTCTCCGTTCGTTCGCATTTCAACGGGTTCCGTTCGCTCGCATTGCAAAGGGCTCCGTTCGCTCATATTCCGACATCATTTTTGTGATGCACGCCTGTCCTTTGCTCGTTCCATGCTGCAAATGCGTAATGTTGCTTCTACTAATAGCATTTCCATATGTATCTACTCAATTTTTTTTTCTTGGACTGAATCCACCGTGGCGCCATGGCCGGCTTGCTGCAATGCCTCAGTGAGGGCACCATTACCAGTGTTTGTGAATTCCAGATATGTTCATCCTACCACGGACTCGGTGTTAGGAGTTTGGAGGGGTTCAGTCCAAAGCTTCTCAGAAGCATTGCTGCGTACAAAGATAACGGCTGGAAGTAAAGCAAAACTGTGATATAAATGTTGAGTAAATTACACAAACTTCTACGCATTTACCTTAAACATTTTCGGGAGTGAGCCAAATGCATTTAGAGCACCGACCTTGAATTGTGCAGATGCAACTATTTTGTAGGACGTGCAATCACCTGAATGCATTTCAGATATGTGTACTCATATATATATGAAAGAATAACTTACCGGGATTCACGAGTAAGACCTTCTTCACCCAATTCCCCGCCGTCGTTCATTGTACCCATATTCACACGCTATCCATTTCCAATAAATTGTATCCAACTGGTTCGTGGATCGCTGGATCCGTTACCATGCAAAGTGAGATGGTGTCTGACGTGCGAGAGGGCAGTTGTCTTGGCGATTGTCCTCTCGCGTGTCAGAAACTGTCTCTTCATGTATGGTAACGGTTCCATCAAGAAACTGTTCGGGGCCCCAGAAGACCATACATTTTGTTTCCCGCATATTGTCCGCAAAAAAAGACATGCGGAACCCATATCTGGCGTGCGGAGTTCTCTGGGCCGGCTGGCGTCGCCG